GTGCGTGCTTGACCGTGAAAGAGAGCTTTGGTTAGGGTTTGGGGTTTAGGGTTTAGGGTCTAGCTAAACCCGAAACTCGAAAGCCGTTTCGTTTGCAGCTGGCTGGCGGCACGCGCTTCGCGCGCGCCGCTGACTTCTTTTTAGTTACAAGTTAGCTACCGTGCGAAACGCCGCGCCCGGCGCAAAAGCTTTTCGTGTGGCTTTCTCCTTGTGCGTGTGGGAAGCGATGTGGAAAGGCGGGCAGGATGAGGCTGCAGGGAAGGGAGGGTTTAATCCCAAACCGAGAGTTCAGATTGGAGTTGAATTGGGTCCAACTCTGGTTCGAACCCGCCGCCCGAGGTTCAACCCGAGTTCGAACGCAGGTTTGACCTGTGGGTTAAACCCAAGCCGGAACCCTGACTCCAGAGTTGTTGTCCAGTAAGAGTGCAGTTTGTAGAAATGTAGAAATTTCTACAAGGCGTCCCTAATACCAAATCCCACACTTGTGTTCTCCTTCCCTCCGCGGTGGAGGGGGAGGTTGTTCCATTTGCACACTGTTTGCACACTTTTCGGCTCTTCCTTCGCAGAGCACTTCAATAAAGAATATTTTCTCTCCGTTTTGCATCTTTCTCTAAACGCGCAACGCTCACGCACCAAACATTACCTTGTTACTAAGAAATTTTTCAAGTATTGTTGTTCTCAATAGAAAGGGGTTGTTATATTGATATTGTTTTCATAATTGTTGCTGTACAGCTGAACTCGAAGGTTGCGGACGTACGGGGCCACCTCTACCACTCAATCCAAATGTGCTTTCGCGCAGAAGAGCCGCTGTGTTTAACAGGCCCCAGCGCATCTTGGTCGACACGCACGAACACGTCTTTGTTCTTTTCGTTGCTCTCCTTCTCTGCACTCTTGTTTGGTGCTGGCCACGTTTTGGTTTGTTCACCGGTTATGTATGCCGATTTTCATGTTCGCAAAGTATACGACCCACTTGTGGCACGGGCATGTTTCAATCACTTGCACAGCCAAAGAAAGAACGTTTATTCCACCGCTGGTTACAATGCCTGTGAGTTGTAAGAGCGCCCCACAATCGTCCAAAGTTGACACATCCATGAAATCCACAAGGATCCGAGGGAGGCCTCGAATCGGTACGCGCGGATACCAGCCACAGGCAATTTGTTCGACAGTGATCTAAATGGATCTGCCGTTGCCATGAACAGACGGACAGTCATCATGCTGGTACAGCCGGTTCCAGTCTTTCGGCATAAAAGGGCATTTTGAAAATTTTGCCTGTCTCGTCTGGCATATTCCCTGATTGGCTGGCGGCGATGATTTCGAAGAGATGTCGGCAGGGTTATTGGCTGTGTGTTTATCATGTCATTTTCTTTCTTGAGTTTCACTGTTCAGAAACAGGCACTGGCCACCGGTCAACTTTTGTTCAAGGTGATGTCCACTGCTTCCTGCCGTTGCAGGCCTTCTTCGTCTTATGATTCTTGTAAGTTCACGCGACATACACAGTGAAGTCACTGCACATGATTTCAAGCTGATGCCCGGTTCTGTTGGAGGATCGCGTGGAACACCAAGGAGAATCAGCAATGAAGAAGGTGCACCTGTGTGCATGTTTGCAGGCAGTTATGAGCAGTTCATGCCGTGCGTTTTCCAGATTGGTGCTTTGTTTGCGCAACTGCTGGTTTCGACAAGTTCAACGCTGGTTGACGGCTCATGATTATGTGGTTCCCGGCCGTGTTTGAGCAATCCCTGTTTCTCCCGCAGTGCTGACAAATCTGAGGTCTCCAGAGGCGTAGTGAAGTTTGGACCCGGGAATTGTGTGCGCCGTTTCCATGAATCAAGGTCATGACTCCTTAGTCACCGTTGGTAGAGTTCGCGGCAGGTATCTGCGTGGGTCGGGGAAGCTTCGCATTGCGTTGCATGGGCCTCAGCACATTTCGGCTCAACGGATCAAACGAGAAGTCAGCCAAGGTACGCACGGCCTGTGGGGCCCAGCCAGCTTTTGCAGCATATGCTGGCACCTGAGCCCATTTTTCCGCGTGAGTCTCGTGTCCGAGTTTTCGCATTGCTGAGGCGATCCGTGTCGTTTGCGTTGACGAGGCCAGCATTCCTTCGCATTGTGTTTGAGATGTTTCTTACTTGGATATGTGCGTGGCATGTGAATCTGTTGCTTGCATGGGTGTTGAGCAGGATTATTCTTGTTGTAGCATTGCAGCTGGTGGGGTCTGGCTTCGTGGCAGGATGGTGGCAGAGTGCTACACACGTTCCAGCAGGGCGGTTTTGATACAGAGGCCAGAACTTGAGCTAGCATTTCCAGCTTCGTTGACAGCACAACAAAGAGTACTAAGCTGCTAAGCTTTGAGCAGGAGACCTTCGACACAAACATCAAATGCCACCGGGTTGAAACAGGTGACTCGGTCCAGGCACCAGGGTTCCTCTTGGTGAGCAGTAAAATTTTAACATGCTGTGCAGGTACCCCAGTTGTCTGTAGCAGCGACCAGCAAAGGGACTGCAGGCCGGGTTGCCCTTATCAGCTGCAGCATGTCTTGTGTGCCTTGTGTGGTTTTGGACTTCGGTTGAGTGCGATGGAACTCCGACAGCCAAGGCTCTGCTTCAGAAGCCACCCAGCACTCGGCCGCTGCCTTGCGCTCGGCGGTATTGGGCATCTCAACACGAAGCAACATCGTTTGCCAGTCGTTGGTCCTTGTCAGCCCCTGTATGGTCCCGACAGCGAGAAGCTCTCAATCACAGGCGATTCCAGAAATGTTGCCACGTGCACCGGGAAAGCATCCAATATCAGTAATATTGCGATCCCTCAAACAAGCAGTGAAGCTGAAGTGACAGCAGAATGGTCGATTCGGACAGTGGGCTCGCATCAGCCTTCCTCTTTCGGATGGCAGGGGTGCGTCCTGCAGTCCTGCATGCTTGTGCATATGACAAGGCGACAGGGGGAACTGTCGCATAGAGAGAAATCGCCTGTGCAGAGTCGTTCGTGAGCCAAAGATGCTGACTTTCCAAGACACGACGTGGGGGCTGTTTAGCGGGTTCACGGGTCCCTCTACTCTGCTGTTACTCCTTCAGATGGGATCATGAATTCTTGTGCAGCAGAGGATGCGAGGTAGGTTGTCGATCTGGTCGTGACAGAAGGCCAGCCAAGACCTCGATTCTGCTTGACAGTTTTGCTGAGGCCGCGGGTGTTGCAGCAAATGAAGTCGCTTGGCAGTTGCTCATGGCAGATGGTGAGTACATGCGGTCAACCCCTTTCTGATCCTATGCATCTGAAGGCTGCCTCACAACAGCTGAGCAAGCTGGAGAGCCAGGTGTGACCCTGGTTTTGTCTGTGTTTTTTTCCGTCAAGTCAGGCAAAAAGCATGTTTATAAGACTTTCGCTCTAGTAGCTCTGGATGCAGGTGCAGTTGCTGACAAGCAATGAGATGGAGATGAAGCGTGAAATCGAGGAGCTGCAGGCGAGGCTCAATGGATCCGAATCCCGGGCGCTCCGTGGAAGAACAGAGGAAGGATCGCGCAGCACACAAGCCTTGGACACCGTCGCAGCCGCCCTCGCTGCTGTGAGTGCTCCGAATACGCAGAGCCAGCAGAGCCCCGCTGGTCACACACACCCTGCGAAACCGGCGCCGTCTGCGATGCAGGCGCCACCTGCATCGCCCGCAAAGCTTGCATCGCGTGTATACATCACAGTGGCAAGCCCCAGCACTGCCAAGCCAGTAGCAGCACCGCCCTCGCCTCAACGCAAGGAAGTGCAGCTCTTTGTCGTTTCGTGCATCTTGCAGCGGTGCTGCAGGGCCACAGTGGCGGCATTCTCCGTACAAGGCTTGCACAGCCGGTGCTTTCGATGGGCATTGCTTTGCCGAATTGCCGGAGTATTTGCTTGAGACGGCGGTCTCAAGCTTGTGCTCATTAGCATTCGTTCCGTTATGTTTCTGCAAAGAGGTGCTGCCTTGTTTTCTTTGGTTGCAGCAGAGCATGCGCATCAGAAAGCTCAACCAGCACTATTCGATTGTGGATGTGATAAGAAAGTATATGGGCTGCCTCACTGCAGATCCGACGATAGCAGCATCTGCAGAGAACGCGGCTCAGGAGGCAGAGAAGGCTTGGCTTCACGTGCAGGTTTGCGTGCGCAAAGTCTTAGGTGGGCCATGAGCTCAAGTGCTGTTTATGGTGACTGTAACTGAAAAGGCGGCAGCGGAGGCAGAGTTGGAAGCACAAGGTCGCCCGCTGAAGACAGATCTTTATCTCTAGCAGCTCTGGGTCTCGAAGCAGGATTTGCACTGGAATCACGTTCTTGCAAGCATTGCGGTGCCTAGGTGCACAGTCTCTGGCGCCGCAGCTGCCACAGCGAAGCAGCGAAGCATCGAATCTAGCAGCCATCGATGTTACATCATGGCCAGTTAAGCTGACCGGCAGCGGTACAAAGGAAGACCTGGAGGCTTGATATCGACAGCAGATCATGTTGGAGAAGTAGCCCAGCTGGCGAGTGAGAAACTACTTGCCATGTCAATGTGCTTGACAGGATGAGAAACTCGTGAGTCTCATGGACGACGGTGACACAGGCAACCATTGTTGTTAGCATCGTGTCTCTGTAATGCGTAGACATTATGTACCACTGCAAGGCGACGATGCGCCATGAGCTTATCAATTTGCCTTCTGTGCCAGTGTAGCCGACGCTTACATTGCAGAAGTCTCCGAGGTAGGCATGCCGCCGTGATAAGAGTCTGGAATAGTCGACATTGCCTTGTTGTGAAAACAAAGGAGCCCGATCGGAAGAACAAGTTGCACAGATTTCATGAAGTACGTTCATTGTGATGCATTGACACATTGAGCATTCTCGGTATAAGTTTCACTGCTGTTATGCTCCGCAACATTTACCTTGAAATTAGAGCTGCTCGATTGCCGGACTCGACAGGAAGGAAAGCTTCCAGCATCTTCCAGACATGGGAAATGGTGCTTCTGCTGCCGCGGGCTTGGCCGCAGCTGCAGGCAAGATGGATGAAAAGGAGCTGAAAGACGTCGTGGCAGCTTTGGACAAGGACACGGCCGACAAGCTTCGTAAAGCCCTTGGCGCTGGCGAAGAGTCGAAACAGACTTTGCCAGAGCACATGAAATGTGCCATTTGGCTTTGGGATGCTGCGTTGACAAAACAAGAGCTCGGCAAGTGTGACCTCGAAGGCGGCATCCCTGACATCACCGGTAAGGACATTCTGTCGGGCAGTGCAAAATTCGAGAAGACCTCGGACCAGGAGAAGGTGGACAGCATGGTTAAGAAAACTTGTCTTCAGTTCTTCCAAGACCAATGTGCTGCGGAGAAGCCATATGAGCCGCCGGCTGACTTGAAGAGGCGTTGCGTTTACCTGTGGGATATACCTGCCGTTGAGGAGTTCCTTAGCGAGATTAGCATCAAAGCAGCAGCAATGGGTGGCAAAATGATGCTGACTGATGGGCAAGTCAATTTTACTTCCTCCGAACAGGAGAAGGTAAAGGATGTGCTTGGGAACGTTGGCCGCATGTTCATGCAAGATGTGGCAGCCTCTCAGTGACTTTTCATCCGGCGCCACATAGTGTGAGCCAAGTTTCATCTTTGAAAGCAGATGCACTGCGTGCCTGTCCATCGCAGACAGAGAGCATGTACTTCAACCTTGAACCGAAGGCAGGAACTGCTCTAAGCATGTGCCGAGGAAAAATCCCAAAGAGGCCAGCCACTGTCATGTTTTGGTCTAGTGTAGTGCCCGCTCATCCACCTGAAGCATCTGCGAGTTCGCAGCCATTTGTGTTGTCAAGAAGACATTTGCAAAACGAAATAGGGTTCACTCAACCATCCGATCGCTGTTCCCAGGAAATGACACGCAGTCCAAGAGTTGCAGGTGTTGTGTACAACTGGGGTCTGGCGAGCATTCACATGGATGCTGCCCTCCGTTGGTTGGATGATGACACCGCTGTTCGATCATGGCTGGATTGCTCTGAGCGCAATCTACCTGAACTGCTGAAGTCTGGTGGCGGTTTCGCGCCTCGGCCTGATCAAAGTTTTAGGTCTGGTGAAAACCATCTGATGTGACATGCAGGCAAAAATCCGGGGTTTCTTGCCGGAGAATGTTGCAGAGGCCGTTTGCACGTCCTTGCGCGGCCTGCGTAGCTGGGAACGAGCTGGCGAGGGTGGCTGCGACGATCTCGTGACTTGCCTGTAACTTAGCAATGAGCGGTGAGGCGCACAACAGCTCCGCCACAACCTCCCTTGATTGTAAGGGGCAAGCCTCCAAGGCCGTAAACCCCGTCCTCAGGAGTACGAAGATCGTGTACGGCACCGTTTCTGGATAGCAGATGTGGAAGGTGACGAGATTCTGCTCGGCGCTGCACGCGTTTTGGCAAGGCCGTCGGACGAATCCAGGGTAAGACATGCTCCATGCATGCACGAACTAGCTGCAACTTTGTTCGACTGCCACTAAGCTATTTGTTTCACTTATCCTGTTACAGCTGTTGTCTCAGAAATCGTAGAGCGACCTTGGAAATTTCTGGCGTGCGGAAGCATGTTTGGAGGCTTCTTCCAGACACTTTGCCGAACTTCTCGGCTGCACGTTACGACGGCGCGGATCACATTGCTGCACATGATGATCTAGTGCCAGAAGCTTATACTACTGAGGAGGTCAGCCAGGCCAGACTCCAGACTGCATCATTGCCTGTTTTATCTATTGTGCTGATAGCAACCGCTTCCTGTCAGGTGCGACAGGCCTTTGGAAGCAGAAGTTTGCAAAGCGCAGTTGAAGTGTGGAAGAACTGGAAAGATTCAGAAAAACAACATGCCTCACAGTTGGAGGCCTCGCTTTGGGACCAAGGTTTGTTCAGATGTGTGAAACGATGTCTCCTGTGCGTCCATGCAGGCAGCCTTGCAGAGTGAAGACTTGGCGGCAGTACGTCAAGCAGTGGCAGCAGGAGCGAAGGCTTCAGAATCGGTGCCATATCGGCGATGGGTAGCAGCTGCGTACTACTTGAACAAGGACTGGTGTGCTAAAGCTGCTAAAGAGTGCTTCGCGCATCAAGGCATCGCATTGGCGAGGACTGGGAGGCATCCTTCGGCGGCCAGTTTACAGATCTGTCGAACCCGAGCTTCTCGGGCCACAAGTCGCTGCAAAGCAAAGCTGTCAACTTGCTGAGTCTGTTGAGGCATGCCTTCTCATCACGTGCCAGAATTCAACACGCTGGTGGTTTTCGAAGTTCCCCGACTCCATAGTGTGGAAGCCGTACATGGCGCCCGTGCTCGATACTCATTGTTCGGCTGGTGGCTCCTTGAAGACACACCGAGGCATGGACTACCAGTCTCAAGACTACTTGTTTTGTGTCGTTACCTTCCGACCTCGTTGCCGGCAGGTGCAGAAAGAGGACCAAGCGGAAGCTCGTCTCTGGTTCCAGCCGTCCACGAAAGACGAAGACCGCTTCTCTCAGACAGGCTGCCTCCTGACCTTGTTTTGCTCCCGTTCGTGTGAATGCGGCGATCTTGTCCAACTTGCTGTTGAAAAGATGGAGCTCCGGGATGTCTCTGTAACAGCAGCAGACCGCTCGCAACATTGCGCCCCACTCACAGCCGAAGATTGAAGCGCGACGCAGCTTTTTTGACATTCATTCATGGAAGCTCATGCCAATGCAGAGAAACAGCAGAAAGCATTGTTGGGGCAATGATAGTTCGGCATGTCCTAGTGACGCGAGCGCAGACGAAGGAGCAGTTACTTGCCAGCGTGAGAGATCCACATTCGGAGGTGTTCCATGTTATCTGTTGTAAAAACCTTTCGGCTGCGATGCAGACCCGCCAGTGCGGGCGGTTGCCATGGTCCGGCTGCTGACACTTCTTCTTTGTTGTTCATATGTTGAGGCCTCGTGGTTGCGCGCAGGGTGATCGCTAAGGAAGAGATTGAAATGAGTGCCTTATCGTACCAGTGTTGTTGTGCTCCAACTTACAGTCGCCCTATTGCTTCCCGGTTCGAAAACCACTGACACACGGGGGCCCTTCAGGTCTTTCGGTTGGTGCGGTGCTTGAGTTTGGCTTGTTCCAAGTTGATAGCCTCTTGCATTCGCGGATTGAATTGTCCAGGCTTAGATAGTCATGGCATGATGTCTCAGAGTCTTAATTACCTGCCATCGAAGCTAGCTGTAGCATTTCTAGCTTTATTTTAGCTTGCTGTTGAAGCCAGCCGCTCCTTTCCCTCTGCGCCTGTCATCGCCAGTAAAGTTATCCATCACACCGTGCGTTGGGTTTCGTGAAGGAAAGTTCCCCTAAATATGTGAAGCATGTGTTAGTGCGGAGATGTCGATGGCTGTGAGAGATGGTCAGTGTGAGTTTGAGCTCTGCCGAGGTGGTCGAGGCACAGCAGCGATCTCTCAGCACAGGGACACTGCCCTTCGCCCAGGCTGATTGCTTCAAGTGCCTTGGATTCTTGGACATGGCTTGCCTTTCCGTGCTGGCAGGTGTTACCCGGGAGTGTGCTTGTCGGCGAAAGTCATTTACTTCAAGTGCGGCTCAGCTGAACTTCAGATGAACGGGGCCATCTGCATCATGAACCCGCTTGCCCCCAAGTCTCTGTGCAGTGCAGCAGCATCTGCTTGGCGGTGGATGTGAAGGCAGGTATGCAGGTATACGGTAAGTAGACTGACCCTCATGCAGCTGCGGTCGCGGATGCTTCAGCCCGAGGGACCCGTCATGTGAGGAGCTCCTCATGGACAGGTATGAAGAGCTATGAGCAGCCCCAAGCAGGGTGCAGTGTGATCGGTGCGCGCACGAGTATCCTCGCGGTCCTCCCTGATTGCGCAAACTGCGAGAACTGTTGCCATCGCACTCTGGCGACACTCTGGCGAGTCGCCTTCTTGAGAGCTCCTAAAGCTTCTAGTCTATAACACCAGCAGAGCCGCCGAGACTCGCACATATCTGCGAACTACAAGCCAGAGTATGCGACTAGCAGTCCTACTAGAGCCATGCGAAAAGAGAATCAGTGTGCAGTGTGTGTAGCCATTGGGAGCTTGCCTCGTGCTGGCATATTCGTAACTTGGTGTTCAAGCCCAGGTTCTTCACTGCGGGACAGACGGTCAGCGACGCAACAGTTGAGGTTGAGGCGCGTCATAGCGGCGGCTTGCTGTGCAGACGTGAGACATTCCAGACTCCAGACTATCAGCAGCTGTCGAGAATCGAGACATCTTGTGGGTGTGGACGCTGGACTTTAGGCGCCGCCCGGCTTTGCCTTCAGCCCCAGCTGCACCGCCGAGGAACTGCCGGAGACCATTTACAGGACGCTCTGCACTGCTGTGTGACTGCACTGTGGGCTCAAAACCCAAACAGGAACGGAGAGACACCGGACTCAGTTGTCATCGAGAGATTTGCCGTTGTCCAGGTCGGGCCACCGACTTTGCGGTGTGTGTGTGTGTGTCACTGTGTGTGTCTGTTTGTCCAGACGACAGCAGTGATATGGCATGTCTGTCGGCAACGGGTTCAAGCTATGGAAGCCCATGATGGGAGGTTCATGCAGTATGTTTGCGGATTGACGTCCCTGTGTAGTTGGCTTGACAGCATGCCTGCTCCACATCCACTGAGGCCCAACCGTCCTAGCCACACCGATGCATGTGCTGAGCTGATCTCGAGCTGGCAAAATGTAATCGCTAGCTCCAGTATGTCGCAGACTTTCCCAACATAAAGTTTTGGTGAGCCGAAAGCGTACATGTTCGATTACGGCAGCCAGCATGTCGAGCAAGGACGTGCAGGCACGGTGCTTCTGTCTTGGAGATGCCAATTGCCCCATCCTGGGCTCTGTTGGCAATGAGTTGAGCCTTCAGAGGAGAATGTTTTAGACACAAGGTTCTCTCACATGGATCCTGGAAGCAACCTTGTGGTTTTCACGCTCGTGAATGGGCCTACACTCGCAAGCCTCTGAACCATCGCCTCTTATGCCCCTTCGTCAAGCCACAAATTGAAGCTGATCCGACACGGTGGGGTGCGGATCCAGGGAGAGCCTGCTCTTAAGCCGGGGGAAAGCACATTGGGTTCTGGGTAAGGCATGGCCAGAGGTCGCGGCTTGCTTCGCATGTCTCTATGCCTGTACTCGCGCGCTGAGTTCGCAACAGAGCTTGACGAAGCGAACATTCGGTGAGCGAGGTTCGCTGGACTGCGGCGCTGCAGTCCTGCCCCCTTGTGGCAATCCTTCGCGGTGTTACGCCGACAGAGGCAGCACATGTCGGTAAAGCTCTCGCAGAAAGCGGATTGCTGCTTGTCGTGATTTTGTTCCGTCTGTTTGTATGCCCAGCTTAGCACAGTTTGGAATGACACTTTGTGCCATTGCAGTTTGCAGCGGCCGACATCCCAGGACAATCCTGGAAGTTCCCTTGAACTCGCCGCAGGACAGACCTCGACTTTCATCCTGTTGCGGGGGCGCTTCAGTATCGCTAGGACGTTGCAATGTGTGGTCAGCGCGGGTTGACGCCTTCTTGATAGCTGCTCTGCAGTCGAGTTTGGCTGGGGTCTTCGGGCAAGCCTCGTGGAGGGGTTGTGAAATGGGAGATGCAGTGCTGTTTTCCTGGCCCGAGAGGCTCTGCAAAGCATTGCACTTCTCGTCCAACATCTGCCGAATGCCATCGTCGGTGCCGGCACTGTCTTGAGCGCTAAAGAGGCAGGCTGCCCAAAGCTTGGTTCGTAGGATTCCGTAGGCCAGCACAGAGTTTGGAAATCGGCATCACAGGTAGATGAAGTTCACGGCGTGGGTGGCAAGCTCATTGTCAGTCCGAACATGGACCCGATCGTGATCCGGAGGACCAAGGAGAGGATCGCGTTGTTCCTACCCTCAATCCACCCACCGAGCAGCAGTCCACGAGTACAGCACAGCCAAAAGATATGGCGCGCAACAGTTTTTGGCTAGCATGTGAGCATTGTGCCAGTTCTGGTGGTTGTTGCTACGGCTGCGTGCAGTATGAACACTTCAATTAAAAAGAGATCAGTTGCTTGAACAGGAGCTTGGTCTCATCAGCTTTCCAGGTGTTTGCACGCCTACGGAAGCCTTCGCAGCAATAAAAGCTGGTGCAGATGGATTGAAGGCACCTTTTCCTGACTTGTCAGTCTGCAGTTTGTGTCCTTCGGTGTACGTATATGTTGATGCACAGGCCTTTCCCGGAGAGCAGCTTCCGCCCAACATCATCAAAGCATGGAGAGCAGTTCTGCCAAAAACTACATGTCTTATGCCTGTTGGATGCTCGGTGGCATGTGTCGTACGTCGGTTTCAGCTTGACGCGGTACGCCGGTACGATTCATCCGTCGTTTCAAGGAGGAGTGTCCACCGAAAACATGGCAGCATACCTCGAGGCAACTTGCAGAGTGCAGCGGTTGGAGATTCCACACTTTTGCACGGATATGCAGGCTGGTGCGAGTGGTTTCGGAGTTGGCACTGCCCTATACCAAGCCGGTGACACGGCAGACACTTGCCGCAAGAAGGCCGGATGCAAGATGCAGGGGCCTTACAACTGCCCTGACTGTCACAAGCAGGCGCAGACTTTTGTTCGCAAGTACCGGGAGCTGGCCAAAGATGCTGCTGGTGACGTGGATCCTCCAGCAAAGCGGGCGAGAGGCGCGACGACCACCTCATTCTCATTTCATGTAAAACTGCCTGGAGCCGAGAGTAGTCTGCGTTTGTGCGTGCCGCTCCTGGCGGCACTTTCCTAAGCTGTACAAATAAGGTCTCGTTCTCACGAAGACGAGAAGTGGGGCTTCTTCTGGGAACCCGAGGTGCTGGTAGCATTGAGTCACAGTCTAGTCGCAAACAGCTTCATACCCTGCCACTGCTTCGTCCTAGATCCTCAAGCAATCCAACCGCCGTGTTCTCCGCAGCATTGTCGTGCGGGTCTCAGATCGACGGGATCTCAGCAACGTCTCAAAAGCAACAACGAGTTGTGATTTGCTTTGAGGCTGCGCCTGGGAGCCCCTTTGACATGTGGAACCATGAGAACCCGCACCTGGCAGCAGTCGAGGGTGACGAGCTGGTCCAGGTGTTGAGACTGAAAACATTTTTCTTTGCAATCCCGGTGGCTGAGAGCATTCTGAACGCCGTGCGATTCAAGAAGTCTGTCAGCCCCGCGTGTTTATTTGCCGCATTCTGGCGCCAAGGTGAATGAAGGAGGCAAATCTGCTCCTGATATCGCACGGGAGCTCAAGCTCGGAACTCAAAGCGCGGTCATGCGAATTTTGGGTCAAAGGCGCAGGGTTTCGGCAGGCTTTTCCCGTATTATTTCCACGCGTTTGGCTTGATTCCTGGCTCAGTGGCTTGTGTCTTGGTGTGATGCACTCTAGAGTCTAGAGATTGAGTTGACCAAAAGAGTGCCATGCTTCCCTGCGTCTTGTCTTAAGCTGCAAGCAGGATGTCGCACATTGTTCAGGTTGTGCAGAGAACTTACAGTGTTTCCCGAGAGCCTGGCCCCTTCATTTTCGGCATGCCAGGAAGATTTGTGGCACATACAAATACAAGTACATACGACACTCGGAGCGGGTGCGGCTTGAGGAACCAATCACAACGAGTATGTTTTTCCATGCATATGGGCAAAGCGCGATTGAGGAACCTGGAAGCTGTCTGTGAGTTTGTTCGCGAGCGGGACTCGGCTGTTGCAAGAGCTCCGATGCTTCGACAGCTGGCCGCAGTGGTTTGGATCAGGTCAAGCCGACTGCAGCCAAGCCCCACGTCCAGAACAACTACCAGAGGAGAAGCCACATGGAAATAACTAGTAGGTAGTCTTTCCTCCTATCAGTCAAAGAAGCATTGGGAAGCACTTGTGATGCAAGGCTTTTCTTTGGACTGAGGTTGAGCGGTACTGGTGGCGCAAGACGTCGGATGTCTGAGGAAGAAAAGGGCCGCCGCAGCGGCACTGTCGGCTTGTGAATAGTTAGGCCTTGCTTCGAAAGCATTTTTTGCAGGGATGCTTTTCCCTCGCCTCACCACCCAGAGTGGCGGCCTCGGATGCAGTGCCAATGGAGCACTCTAATGTACCGGATTCGTTCTTCTGGCCAAGCGCTGTGGAGTGCCGCAACGGATGTTTGCTGCTTGATCGGAGGTGCATGTCCTGCTTGGGCGCCCGATTCAGCAGGCCGGGTGATTCCAAAGCAGTGCTGGCAAAAGTACGGATGCATGTGTCAGAATGAATCAGGGAGTCTCGTACGCTTTTGGCATCATGGTGCAGAACCCCTCGAGCCAGAGCTCGCAGGAGGACATGTTGCCGTCCACTACGCATGTTGGCAAGCCATGTGGCAAGCCCGCAGAGCCTTCTTCAACAGCAGAATCAGAAGCGAGACGCTTTGACCAAGTTGGGAATGAGTAAATGCTGTAACCTGAACCAGGGGTTGTAACAGGAAACTTTATTTCAGGAACTGGCTCGAAATTGTTTCAAGAACTAGACCCGAGGCCCGCGGTATCAGGGACTCGGGGGTTCAGGGTTTGGGGCTTAGCATTGGGATTTTAAAGGTTGAGGGTCTTGGGTTATAGGGTACTTGGTTCGGGGTGGAGGGCAGAGGGGTTCTGGGGGGGGTGTACGACTGGAGGATAAGTAGAGCTTTCATGATAAAAATTTAGTTTAGAATCGATGCGTTTTGAAGGGGCGGTGGATTTCTGGGTTTGTGGTTCAGGGCTTAGGCTTTGGGAAGAGGAGCGGAAGAGGAAGGGGACAGGAAGAGGAACGGTAAGGCTTTTGTCTTAGATTATCAGGGCTTGTCAAGCATTTTAAAGGACTTATAAAGGGCTTACACGGGTGCCCTTGTAGGCCTAGGAGGGTTTTATTAGCGTAGGGCTTTTAAGGGCTTCTGAGGGCTTATAAGCACTTATGAAAGGGCCGTGTAAGGGCTTTGAAGCGCTTTGTTTTATAGAGGAGGTCGAAGGGCTCGACAAGCTTACAGTCTCAACCCAGAACGCCGTTTCGGTTCGTTGTCCGGCTGGTTTCCGTTGCCCACTCCTTACAGTTAGGTTCCTGTTACGTCCTGGTCGGTTCCGGAAATGCGGTTCCGGTTAAGTTACGCGCTGGTTCCTGTTACAACCCTCACACGTTGGGAATACATAGGGTTGTCTCCAACGATATTCTTTCAAGACTCGTTCTCAACCCTTAAAAGAAAGGACAGCAGCCGGCAATCAAAGCCTGGGGATGCAAAAATTACCAAACCTCCCTTCCATCCCACCCAGGGAAGCAGAATATTGCAAGGCGAATCGGGAAGGATCTGCGAGTCATGCCCAAACACGCCGAACACCCTGTAAAACAAAAAGAGCGAGGCATTGCACAATCGCACCGACATAACACTGTTACATACGAGCGATTTCGAAAGTTTTCCCCAGGCATCTGGAGCGAAAACACTGTAACCACCAGTGAGAACAGCCCAGCCACCAGAAATGTAGAACGAGTTTCAAAAAGAGGTTCTTCGAAGCAGGGGAAGACACAACGAGACCGAAGGGCGAATCCAGAGCACTGGTAGCAAGAATTTCTGGAGGCTATTGTGCACTATTCCGTGCCACAGGCTGTAGTTTTTGGTCCAGAGGCCGCACCGCATCTTCAAGCGGCATCGGGCTTCTTGGAGCCCATGGTCAGCATGTTTGTAAGTGGCCGGAGTTCTGATGCTTATCGTTGAGTCACTACCAACTTCTCTTCAGAAAGGTCAGGCTCAAACTTGTAGAGTCGTGAAGATCTGAGCCAATGGTCGAAGCAGCAGAGGAGTGAAGTATACCAGGCCCAAGTGAAAGTAGCCGACGCCTTGAAAAGCTACCGCAAGAGCGCCGTCTTGAACCCAGAGCAGCACAGCGGTGCAATTCGGAGAGACGGGGAGGCGGTGGGGAGCGAATAGAGGCAAGATGGGTGAAAAAGGAGGCAAGGCTCCAGAAGACGACAGCACCATGCCAACTCGCCATACCGGAAGTGAAAGGGAAACCAGAAGCCAGAATATAGCAGGCGTGTGTCCAGCACTCGGCAGACACCACAATACCTATCACACTCGCTGAACACCCCCGCCGCCACCGCCGGCCGCCACGGCCGCCGCCGCCACGGCCGCCACCACCACCACGACCACCACAGCCGCCAAACTTCAAGATGCGTGCCGGTGTCCTCCTTGGGGGATATCAGAGCTTCGCGTCAAGCAGGAAGTGACAGATGTTGTGGACACGAGCAGACGAGTTGCAGTTCAGCTGTAGAGACATGGTTGGAAATGCATAGCATTGCAAACAATGACAATGGCAAGGAGTGCTTTAGACTGACGCAAGTTTCAGGAGCAGCTTCAGTGGATGGTGAGGACACTGACTACACTGCATTGTGTGTGAATTTCTCCGCGCACCAGTGCAGGTGTTTTGGGTGTGCGCGGTTGTGAGTGTGCGACTGTTTACAGTCTTTGCTCTACTTGTCGATGGTTTGGATGAGGACCCGGGACAGCAGCGACCTGGTCGTGGAGGTGGATGTTTTCCTCTAACATGACCTGTCTTGCATTGAGTCGACAGTGTGGCTGCAGGAAAGTTCAGGAGGTGCCGCCTGGCTGGATGCCTCTGCCAGCGACAGTCCTGGCCACACCCTTTGCCGCGGCACGTTCCAGAAAAGTGCAGAGATTTGACCAGAACTGAGGCAAGATGTGGGGCCTTTCCACGTCTGAGCTGGATGCTCCGACTCTCCGATGGGGCTGGGCCCTTTGAGTGAAGTTCTGATACCATATGACTGTAACTTCTCAACGGTGCTTCCGGGCTTCAGGAGAGCTGCTGCCTTTCTACATCACGTGGCCGGGCTGGACACAGCTTGATTTGGACGTTGCAGAAGCCAAGCGCGACTGGCAGCCAGCTCGAACACTGAGGCTGAATACGGCTTATGTTACGGTTCTTCCCATTCAGGTGCCGTAGCTCGTCTGCATGAAATTGGAGTGCAGGTGCATCCTACGTTTCGAGTCTGCGGGGTTGGCGGTTCGCAATGTTCAAGGTTTGACTTGTCCACGCCGATGCGGTTTACCGCTCCGCTTGGCTGGATCTGGGAACCTGCCGTGGTGGAGAGCGGCTTCTGGCAGGAGTTCAGAGGCACTGCTGTACTGGGGCAGAACGATGGGACTCGGTGCAGGACGCTGCCTTTGGCTCCACAGCAGCTTTGCCTGGGAACGTGGCTTGACAGACACCTAAGCATCTGCTACTCCGCCGCCGCCTCCTTCTCCATTCTCCGTCTCCATCATGTCCAGCATGGGTGAGATTCGTCTACTAATACTGCCTGTAGCAGCTCCGCCTCTAGACTCGCGCATGTCATGCTGAGGCAGTGCCTACGGTCTCCGACGACATTTTCCTTTCATGGACAACGCATCTTGAATCATCTTGGACGAACGGGCTTGTTCTGTGCTCTGGGTCAGACCTGACTTCTAGGCCTATGGTCTTCGTGAGTGGCGAGATTTACGGCTTTCGAGTCCCTGTCCGAGTGCCCAGATGGCCTTCAACAGGAGCGAAGAAAACGACTTCTTCGGGAGACTGCTTTGGTTCTGCTTCACATGCAGGCGAAGTATAGGGAGAGGTTGCGTAGCCGGACGCGAAAGCTGGGCATGTTGTGGGGCAGAACTGAGATGAAAAGGAGCACAAGTGGAAGTAACGGAGTCCGCTGACGAGTCCGTCTGCAGGAGCTGATTTCCTTCTTGAGCTCGGCAACTGGAGTGGGACTGCTGATGCCGGGCAGCGCCCGCTGGCAGTCTTTCGGCCGACACTAGTTGGGCGGCGCTTGCTGGCGAGCCCTATATACTTCGGGGTGATGATTGCAGATCAATTCTGCGAAGATGAACCGATAATCTCAAGATTGTGTCCCATGCAGAATGAGCTAAGGTTTTGCTCCCGGGACCTTCGCTCAGCGCAGCGTCTCATCTGCAGTATGAGAACATGCCGAATGTCTGCGTGAGAGAACTCGACGCCAAGGTGCGAGGGGCATGGGTTGACTATGTGACAGGACGAGTTGGAGAACAGCATGGAGCGCCCTGAACGTTCTTTAAGCACAAACTGTGGCTGCCGGAGTCTGATCGCATAGTGGTCGGAGAGGCACGTCTCAAGTCCTCCTTTGTGCCTTCGCTGTACGCCCGCAAGGGTTGCAAAAGACGCTGAGGTGCGTGTACAGCTGACCACCGCGACGCCGATTTTTGCAGGAGGCGGTTTCATCTTTGAGGCATCGGCACACGGCGGGTGATGTCTAGCCAGGATTTTCCTAAGGGTCGGGGGCGCAGCATCTTGGTGTACATTGATGTGTTTTGGTCAAGGGCCGCGGTGCTACTTCCGTTCGACGATGTCAGTGCTGAGGGCCTGCTGGCACTGGAGGGTAAAGAACTTGACCGTACGCAAGAAGATGGCGCTGTTTGTCATTGGCTAGCCAATTACCCGCTGCTTCGGGAATGACGCGCAGGGCGGTGTGGCGACGAGGCGGTTGCGTTGCAGCTGCCCTGGCACAACAGGCATCACAGGGTGTGGCGCGGGAGGTGGTCGCTGCCAGTGCTCTTGACTTGATGGTAGCTGTGGTGGTTTGCGAATTGGGTTGTGTGCCATGAGCCTCATGATCCTCATGCCTGTCAGCTTGTGCCTTGTGCAGATGGCTACACCTGCGCCGTGCAGAGCCTGTTCTCGGGCGAAATCCTGCTTAGAATGGTGTCCGCGAGGCCTTCGGCCGTTCTGGCAAGCCCGATAGCAACAGATGACACACCTGTCGACACGGCGGTGTACTATCGGGAACTATCGGAATAGTATGCAGAATGCTGCCTGCATGTTTCTGCTTGTATTGGCATTCTTGCTGCACCATTCATTCACGGAATGCTGCAAAAGACTCCATTGATAGGGCGCTCCTCGCTGGGACCTACTCCTTCCTCTTCCTCTGCACGAACGCGGCCAACACTGTACCTGCAGGCGGGCCTATTCACAACTCACAAGAACAGGTTATCAAAGGTTCATATTGATTCGGCTTGAACGACCACGGTTCTGCTGCTTCTGCGGAAGCGGCCTTCCTGGGTCCATACTTCGGCACAGCCCGGAGCCCCGTGCCCGTGTGAGGTTCTTCATTACTGTTAGACTCTTCCAGCTTACTGCGCTTTCTTGAGATCCGCCCCACTCACTGTTCTTGCATCCTCGTGCATGTGTTGCATTGAAACACCGCTATGAGTGCAGCTTCTTTTTGTTTCTCTCAGCATCCCGGCCTCTGCAGGCTCTTGGAGGTTCGCCACGTATCAAGACCCGGAAAACTATCCGGATGCCACTGAGGCTTGGACACGACGTTAGTGAAGACGGCCACGTAGAGGAAATCCGTCAGGTTGACACTCCATCCACAGTGCCAGGATTTGCTGTTCAGGCTGGCAACCGTTCAAGTTTATGCCCATAGACTGAAATTTTTGCACCGGGTCCTGTGTTGCTGGTGCAGGAGGCCTTGCAGCACTTCGAGCGGCTTCCAGCCGCGATCACTTGGTCCTTCGATCCACGTCCCCTCAGGTTGCATTGACCATCCTTTTGCCGTAAAAGCGCGTGACTGCCCCGGGCCACTGACAGGGACAGCTCCACCATCCTGGCCTTTACTTTGCCCGGCAACGGTGTGCTTCCCAGTCGCGTGCGGCTGCGCGGCCCGGAGGCCCGGCTATGCCCGGCTCTTCTCCATGCAGAAATCGGAGTGCTAATAAACGGCTCTTCTCCGTGCCTTCGCAAGTTTTCGACATTTCTGCATACTTGCTCGGTAAGAAATCATGACGGGGTGGGTGACTACTTCAGCGATTCCTTACGTGTCTGTGCGTAAGATCTGGACGTGGTAGCGCATCCATTCAGCTGTATTGTCGGGTTCCTAGGCATCTCGGAAAGTGTCATAAAGCTGGCTTGAGGAGTAGTTGGGAAGGCCTGGCAATGCGCAGGGGATGAAGCTGAAGCTGCACTGCATGCCGCAAATCGTTGTTGACCTTGGGCAAGTCTTCCAACTGGACGTGTGGTACTCAGGATATTCGGCTTTCGCTGGGATTTGCAGGCTCGCCTGTGTCGAGGTCTCGCTAGCGGCCAACTACTCACAGCTTCCGGATTTGCCGGAGCCCTGTGGAACACAGCTTCGGCTGTGGCCTTCGATTCCGCTGTATGTTTCGGGTCACTGTTGGCAAGTCCGCTTTTCCTCTCCACGAACGTCGGGCCCAGAAAGACAGCCCGGTCGATTGTAGCTTAGTGGTCTCTCATGGATGCAGATCTTGCGTTGACAGGGCAGCAGCAGTCTGGCAGTGCATCCATGAATCACATGAATAGCTAAAATATGAGAAAGTGGGCAAAGGACGATTGGTTGTGTCGTGGTTGTGAAAACTTGAAGGGTTTGTCACGAGCCAGCTACACGAGACCATGAAATGAGAGCTGGAAACCATGGCTGGCACCGAGTTGCAGCGCGTAGTTGACGAGGACTGAGCACTTGGAGTCACATGGAGCACACCTCAACTGTCAACCAACGCCAGGATGATGATGGACCCCGACCTGCTCAAAACAGGATTGTGGCTTTTTGCATCCATCAGTTCAGACATCCAATGAACACAGGAGCACGCTTTGGGACTGGAACAAAATATGTGGCTTGATGCAATGCGCGATTTTGTTTTGACTCAATGCAGTGAGATGGAGATGCTTTTTCCCGCAAACGAGGTGCTTACCATACCAACAGAGCCACTCAGTTGCTTCTGGTGTCGAGTGGTTGCCCTTCTCTTCAGTCTGAAGTTGAGAGAAAGGCAGGAGTCTGCCATGATGTCAGGGTGTCTTTGTCATTTCTGTCGCAGCTGTCCGGTTCATGGGAATTTCGTCATGTTTCCGCGATCAGACGCGAGGTCGTGCGAATCCAGGATGCGAATCTTGGGTACCTCTACTGGGGCATAGTCACCTTAGCTACTTGACTGCAATATGCCGATGTGGAGGCTGTGCTCTCGATTTGTTGGAAATTCCAGCAGTGCAGGGGGCTGGTGCAAAACGCCTTTTTGCTCAGGTTGTTCTGTACATTCAAATCGTTGTTTTTCACATCGAGGGCAGACACACCTTCCAGGACGCTCCGTGCATGGGTCCTCGGAAATACCGCACGTTCGCCATTGCAGGAACCGGGCTATGGTGCCGTCATCACTAAGTTTGAAGCCAAGAGCTTCAATCAAGATGGCAAGGCCATCAAAGGGTCCCTCGCATCTCTCCAGAATTCGAAGTTACAAAGTCGACATGATCCGCTCTTCACCTCCAGGCTTTTGATGAAGTCGACCTGCGACATCCAGTCATTGAGCCTTCGGGCGCCTTCATCATGACCCGCAGAATTACGATGAAGGCGCGCCTGTACCACTCGCCTGAGCGGGACCATTGCCATTTGTTCCCGAACTGTCCATGCAAGCAGGTTCTTATGACCCCGGAAAGAGGGAATCACATAGCAAGCAATGTTTCAGGAGCTTTTCCCCGGGAGTTGAAAGCTCTACCTCAAACTGTCCGGCATGTTGTGACATGGGTATGGGCAAGCAGAACGAATACAGTTCGTTGCTCGGATGGATACTCCGACGCAGATCCACGTGAAAGAGGGGCGTCAATCGATGTCATCTAGCCTGAGGCTAGACTAGAAAAGGAGTTTCTGTTGCCTGTCGGTGCAACTCGATGAGAAAGACAGAGCACAATTACGAAGGCATTAGCATGCTACCAAGAAACTTGCATCAGGATATGAAACCTTCAACCCACTGGACAAGTCTCACAGTGGAGATTTGTGGTGTCCGCATTAACTTCTGTGGCCTGTCCTCGGAAGTTGATGCTCCATGTTGAAGTTGTACTTTGTGCTACTTGTAATTCCGGATGAGCCCCAGGCGAGTGTTGTCTGCTAAGCTGCTAGGATTCCAGGTGGAAGGGGACACCCAGTTACATGAAAGCCCAAGTGGGTCTAACTCTCGTAATGCCGCACTGAGCTGCAGTACTAGGAAGTTGGAAGAGTTGAATGCATGACATCAGAAGTGACATGCCAGGGGCAAGCGTGCCTTGGCTGAAAAACGCTGCATCAGACACGGATGTGTTTGATGCATGGTTCACGGACGACATTTGTGAGGATGGGCACTTGCATCGACTCGGACAGCCCGAAGAAGTGTCCGTGTGGTTCCCGAGCAGCATTAGCTGTCGTTGCAGACCTTTTCTTTGGACCCGAGTGGCGCCAAGCGCGAAGTGACCAGGGTGAAGTTGTCAGACCTTCACAGTTTCGTCTGTCGCGCAGACGTCTCGATTCGGGTCAGAGACAAAACAAGGAGACCATGCCACTTGTGGCCCCGACGGCTACTGCCAGGCCCCTGACTTGCACCCCATATATGCCCAAAAATACTTCGACTATGTGAAGCCTGTGCGCTGATGCTCGGAGTCATGTGCTGGGGTGCTCTGCATGTCATGCACAGGTGAAAACTTGGTGCCCCAGCTTGGGAGATCACAATGTGGCGAGCCCTCCTCCAGGGGCTGTCGTCGAGGCTCCGGCGGAGACTTCTAGAATCCTTGAAGCCTGGATACATATTTTCACAGTCTTCTCAGGACATTTTCGGTCTGGAGCAGCTTTGCCAGCAAGCAGAAACGGAACGAAACAGCTCCAGTTCGGTGATGCGCATGTGATTCGGAACATGCGTGATTCGAGCACTAGCGATTTTTATCACTGGTCATGCACGGAGAGGATGCTTCACTCGCGACCCGAGCACGGACGATTCCAGTACGGACACAAACCATTCTGACCCGTGCAACACCGCCCGGTGTCTCCTTCAGGATTTCGGATAGGGCTGCCACCCCTTGTGCTTTTGTTGCCTACCCTCCATTTCGTCGTGAGTTTTCTTTATGCTACTCATCTACTTGTTGGATTTCGTTTTTTTGGTTGACCTGTCTACTCTGCATCCCCCTTTGGAGTATAGTCGGGTTTTCGAAGCATCATCAGGGTTCAGACTTGTCGCTGCCGAGCCTTCATCCCCTAAACTAGGGTTTAGGGTTTTCGAATCCGTACCACCTTTTTGCCTTCCACGTCTTAGGATTTATTCCGGACCCCTTCGGCCTCGTCAGGTTTCAGGTGTCGTTGTGCCCGTTGCTCGCTCGTGTATTTAGGTGTCCGCATCCAGCATGCACGAATCCTACTTCCGTGTGCGAATCCTTTGTGCACGATTTTGTCGCGCTCGTGTGCGAATCGCTTCCGCGCACAGCAGTGCCGGAATCCATGTTGCCCACCAGTTAGCGAGGCGCGCCAATCGACCTTGCGCGAATCCGCTGGCACAGTAAGAATCCTCGTTACCAAAATCCATGGCCAGAGCGCAGGAAGCTCTTGCGGGGAAACCACCTTTTCAGTGGTCATATCAGTGCGCAGTCGCTTCCAGATTTCCTGAGGGAAGCGTTGCTGATGATCGTGGCCGGCATCGGCTTCCCCAGCATAGCGGCACACTCAGCATCGGGCACCGTAAAAACGCAGTTTCGATGGTTGCACAAACTTTGTGCAGAGACGACGTTGTAGGTATCGGCGTTCAGGGGTCTTGCCTTGCCCAGGGCGCCAAGTTTCACGTGGCTGGCTCTTCCCCAGGTTCGATTTGTTTGCTTTCTCTGATCTGATCGTTGCTTAAGCGAGAATGCCAGACTCCAGCGACCTTCACAAGCGCATCACGCTCCTCCAACTTCTCGAGCTTGCAGACCCGCCCCTGAAGTTGGAGGACCCGTGATGTCCTGATTGTGACGGCGACATGCATTGTGTTACAGCTGACTCGTGCTGAACCTGACCTGCCCATTTCTAACCGGCTAAATGCAGCGGCATCATGTGTCTTCAGCGGCAGTCGGGACCACACGCGACCCGCCGTGTTGCACAAACCTTGAGCTTCAGGATGTTTCCAAGTCTGGGTGCGTCATTGCAGTGCCTTGGACTGTGGATTGTTTGTGACCTTTCTTTGGTGGAAGACCGCCCATCGTATGTAGAGGCCTTTGCTTTCTGCATTCTGCAGCAGCGAACGCTGTGCTAGCTGAAGATTTCTGTTGATGCGTTCATGAATCTACTTTCTGTTCAGTCAGGTGAACTTCTTCTGGAGCTGCGATTTCAGCTGGAGCAACAGCTGCGAGCCGAAGATGAGCGTCAAGCGCGCCAGCCACCTACAACGTCCGTTTGTCCATGCAAAGATGTCACGGAAGCCGGATGGTTGCAAGGTCGATGATGGCACTGGCTTCGTCCAGAAGCGCAGTAAGAAGCACACTGTGAACGGTGTCGAGACAAGGCCAGAGAATGCAACTCATCATCTACTCGTAGCTGTGGTCCTGAGCCTGTTTGCATGTGACAGGGATGCCCAATATATGTACGGCTTGCGCCTCATCGTGGACTCGTCTGGGATTGGTCGCCAGATCAGCCTGGCTTCTCGGCTGCAATTTCGAAGTTTCCTTCAGAACAGCTTGGGCCAAAACTGATCGCAGGTCCCCATTGTCATCCAGCTGGGTTCCTGCCTGGCCCTGGTGCAGATCGCGTGCCGTGGATGCAGTTGCAATATTTGCATAGCAGCTTCCAGTTCTACCGGGCATATACTGCGACGTTCATGAACATGTTCTTCGTCCGCCGTTCTTCGACAGAACGGATCTGTCAGCTCCAGAGGCAATCGTGGTCTAATGCTTGTTACGGCTAGTGCAGTTCCGCTCAACTGTCAAAAGCCACAAGGTCAATGGCTGCAGATTTCCTCATGGTGCGCATGTACGACAAGGAGCATGCTCTACAATCCGGCCTGAAGTCGGTGACGTTCGGGGGAAGCGATCCCGGCAGGATCGCTGCGAGGCATACTACCGCTGCAAGGTGGTGGAGACCAAGGCCGCTCTTCAGAGCTCCTTTGACATGATAAGCCATGTGCTGACTCCTTTTCTTGCCGAGGATTACTCAGAGATGCAGGAGCCGGGCAGCTTTTAGCTCCCAGGGGTCCAGGGATCAGACCGAGGGCGCTGGCAGAGAAAGCTGCGTGAGAGCTGCCAGTGCACCAAAGCACTGAGAAGCGTTTGATTTTTTCCTTCTTACAGAAGAAAGTAAGTAGAAAAGTGCTAGCCTACCATGTGCATGCATGCTTCAGCCATAAACAAGCAGAGCTTCCGTTAGGATGGTTGCAGAAGGGGGCGAATGCTCAAGACCACCTTTCCTCAGCTCAGCTCACTCAGCCACGAGCAGGAGCGACTGCATCTGGTTGGCGACCAGCGCAGTCGCGTGCGCCTGCCATTCCCGTTGTGTGTAGTACCCCTGTTGTGCTTCCTGCTTTCATGTCAGGCACGCGAGATGGTAAGCGCTTCCTGTCTGCACGGAGCTCGCGTGCTTTAAGCCGTTCGTGTGACTGGAGCCGAGGCAGGCATCATCAGAAGTGGTGGTGCAGGAGCTGGCGTGTCGCTAGGTCTCGGCGCAGGTGGACGAGGCCGGCAACATGATACACACACCGGGGCAAGCTTGTGTTCGCAAACTGGTGCCACTGAAAGGCAGCATGTCTACAGTTCGCGGGCGAAATGTGCCACGAGGATGAATGCCGGCGATCTAAGCTGCAGATGAGCGCCAAGGATTCGCAGGTGCAGCTGCTGGAAAGCTGCCAGATGCTCTGCACCGTCTTGATTCAGCCGGCAGACATCCGGCTACACTTACACCCTGCTCCAATTCATTGGATGCCCTTCTTGTGCCGTGCTGTTGTTTGGCTTATCTCGACATCAGCATCAGAGCGTTTCAGACGGAGCTGTACATTCCTCGCTTGTTGACTCTAGCGTCCACGCTGGATCGTTTGCAAAAGATCTCAGCGCTATTGCAGCATCCTTGCCGTCAGGACTGATATGTAACGTCAAACCTCCATGTGCCAAGGTTTTCATGTGAAGGACGCGACCATGTGGCAATTATGTCCTGGGAGGCCCCTTCGGTGCACCGGTGCTAAAGACCGGGTTTCAGCGTCCATGACCAAAATCAAGATCAATTGTCATGATCTGGTGATGATTGTGCATGTTCCGAGCCAGTGGATCCGAGTCGCGACATGGCAAGATAGACGAAAGATGTCTGTTGCAAGGGTGCTGCAGGCCATGCTTCTATAAGTGAACGGTTCGTCTTTGGAAAGGTAGAAGATCCGTGCTGTCGGGGAGAGGTTTCCCTCGGCATCGGCTTGAATCGACGACTCCAGTGCTTGGAAGTTCCTGTGATTCACAGCTGAAGTGGAGGCGGCGCTTCCGCGGAACCAGACGTACGCCTTCCGGGTGGAGGCCATTTGTGGCCCCGGTGAAAGCCGCCTTCTGTTGCCTTCTCTGACTGTGAAAAGGCCACGAACCCCTTGGTGAATCCAGACTTCAACGTCTGGACGCTGGAGGCGCAGTCGAGTCACGAGATGAAAAAGCCTACGGGCCTACGTCGTCTGGCAGAGTTTGGGCCTGCGCAGGTCGACGGCCTTTCGTCTGCTCAGGTGGGCCTTGGAAGGGGGCCCTTTCGTCAGTGACCAGGGGGGCAGATTCCTGGGATCTGGCAGGTGGCAGCCAGCCCTGTGCAGACATTCAGCGATGTACAAGTTCTTTTGGCTTCTCCTTCCACTCGCCTCGGGGGAACCGTTCGGATCTTGACCTGCTGCTTGGGACGGGCTGGGGCCTTCTTCGACTGGCCTTAGGTCGGAAGCACTTTGAGCAACGGTATCCGCATCATTTTCCGACCCTCCGTAACGGCAGCTTGGATGCCAAATGATTAAAGAAGCATTGGTCAAGCTACAGCCCGCCGGTGAATTGTGAATGTAAGTTGGTGATTCTCGAGGCTGAGTCATTTCGAATTACGGCACCGATGCCGTACAACTTCGGGTTCAGCATGACGTGTGGTGGGATACGCTTCATAGGCCGGAGAGCCATACCTAATACCAACCCTCGAGCTTGATGGTTTCGTCAAGTCTTCCTCTGTTGGCAGGGCAAGACCCGGCAAGATCGGACGCAACCTTCACCCAAGCCCTGTCTCGATGTGCAGCGTCCAGCCATGGGCTTAGCTGCACCTCAAGCGTATCCGCTTGCAACACTGGGATGTCAAGCCTGGAAGTGAAAGGCAATACTTTGGAGATCACTTTCCAGGCCGCCCGGTTGTTGAGCCTGCAGAAGGATGTGGCAATTTTGGACTTGTGTGTAAGACTTGTCAAGTTGATGTTGGTCATGTTGAGGTGCCCGATGGCATGCTCGCTGGAGCTCTGTACACGGTGGAAGCCGACCCTTGCTGAGTACTTTAGGGCAATCATCAAAATGCCCAGCGGTATCTAGCATGCTGAACCGACATTCGCCAATGCATAGATTCCGAGCGATTTTCTTTGAGCTTAGGATGTCCTGACACCACAGCAGCTTCCTTCCACACCAACGCAGTTCCAGCTTTCGTCCACGCAGATTGGTGGAGGATCGATGGTGCAAGCGTTTAGTAGTGACTCGTTTTCGCGGTTGATGACTTAAAGGGCACAAGCTCTGCTGCCATAAACTGGTGGGCAACTCAAGCTGTTCCAGATGCAGTATACTGCACGTTGCAAGCAATAGTTGTTCCCGCAGTTTGTCTTTGACTTCACGTAGGATGCATGTCGCCGGGAGGAGTCGGCGATGATGTTTTTGTTGATGAGCCAAGCCTCGCGAGAGGGTTGCTATATTTTGAGGCGGGCCATCACGAATCAACCAGTCCAACAATGTCTACATGATCCGAAGCGGTTTTGTTGCTTCAGTGCATGGAGAGCATCGCGAGTGATGTTTAATTTGCAAGCGGCAGGTTATCTCCGTGAGCACGGAGCCACCGAGGTCGGTGTTCTTACATGTTCTTACCAGTCGAAGATCTTCGTTCAGCTGATAAGCACGGCATGTGTTGCCCATTGTCATCCGACTGCCTTGCAGGTCCGGACTGACTGCAGAGGTCCAGATCAAGGTCTCGTTCAGCAGTCTGGCGCGGGCCGGGGATTTCATAAGGCGCGGGGCGCGGTGGGTCATGGAGTGGTTGCAGTCTTACGGCAGTGCCCGCTTCAGGCTCATACTGCCTCCCCGGTTCCTTTTCGCCATCAACGAAACCAGTAGCTGTGTGCACCCGAGCTAGGAACGAGCACGGCAAGATGCGAATGAGAGCCCATGCTTAGGCCCGGTCACAGTGACAAGCCCTACGGTTGCACCGAGTCCACAGCCTCCATCTTGGACTCGCGCTGCCCAGAAGCTCAGAGTGAACTTTCCAGAACCGCTTCTCAGGTGCTCCTGCCAAGGTGTCCTATCCTGCATGGTCACTCTGCAGGTTCCTTCGAACCAGCATGACAACACGATTCTCGTTGATGGTTTGTTGCCGAACTGTCTGAATGCACCGCAGGTTCTGGAAGCCACAACCACGCAAATTCCGCCAAATGCAACGCTGGTCTCCAACACAAGCACGTCCGATCCTTGACCGTGGCACAGCAACAGGCCGACGGGAGGAAATCCAACGAAAATGTCTTGGCTCAGGACGACAACCACCACGTGGGCACCGACCTCAATGTGAAACGAATTGTGTAAGTTGTGTATCTGCACTGGTGTCGCCTGCCTGATGCCTCATTCTTCGGCTCCGCATGTCTGTTTCTTTGGCCGCTGCTCACCGGACAGGTGCGGAGAGTTTTCACGATGCGTTGTGGCCTTCTTTCTTCTGGTGGAACCCCTTGTAACACCTTGACGGCTGGGAGGATCACTTATTTTCTTCGCTACGATGTCTGACATGCGAAGTGAAGACAAACCTGGATCT